CTATTTACCCTTACAGAGTAGCTATCTGACTTAAGAAATGTTATATCTGAGTCTCCATTTGAGATTGCTCTGCCATATCTTCTATGCTGCAATTTCCTTACTGAATTTTATTATTGTAATGCCTACTCTTTTTATAGTTGATTTCTTAAAGTAGCTTATTGTAGCATCAAAATGGTACCTGATGTGATCACAACAATTCACTTCTAATTAAATGATGGCTATCAATACACTACCAAAGAATAGACTAACACTCGCTTTGATACCAATGAAATAGGACTAGATTCTCTATTGTCTAAAATCTTACCAATTTCATAAGAAAAAAGATCTTGACACAACATAAGACCAAGTACATTAGAACAAAATTGAAAGTAACTAAACAAAATAGAACATAAAAGACAAAATTAAGTAAAAGAAAATAGAACCAAACAAAATAAAACAAGAAAAAGCAACCAAATTTTACTAAGACAAAGAGTTTGAAGCCATACCTAACCAAAAGCCCAAATAGCCTTTGTCAATCTTATTTATACTTTGTTCAATTGTCCTTGAAACTTTCTAAAATATTTCTAATGATAGATTCCAACAAAACAATTATCCTTTTAAAAGACTTTAGAGGTAGGTCCGACCATGATAACTACCCTAAGTCTTTTTAAAAGGTTCTATAGTGGCTTCTACATGAATCACCATCCTAACCTCAATTCTAGAAACTTCTCAAAAATGACTCCAATTACACATTTCTATCTGTAAATAATACAAATATCCTATTCATGCTCTATTATAGCTATCCATTCTTTATCACTTTTTTAAAAATATAGCCATAAATATTTTTAAGAATGAATTTAAATTATATAGTAGTTATGACTTTTTTTCCATTAATGGTATAAATCAAAAAAGAGCAATCCTAGAAATAAATGTTTTTATAATTTTGACTAGAATAAATCCATCAAAATATTGAAAATGATGTAATCTTATATAAAGCTTTACTTGTTGAAAAAACCCTCGTAGTTTTGATCTTATTCTATCAAACTTCTCCAACATACTTATCCTTGCTTCTTTTATATTTAGAATGATAAGGTTCTTCAAATTCAATTGTAAACTTGATCTACCTTTCTTTTCTAACTATACAACTTTATAGCTCAAACTTTGAACTTCATTGTTGATTTCTTCTACAAGAATAGGAATGATATCTCAATAATTCACATTGGAAATATGTGAAATTTCTATCCTAAGAGTGTTAATAAGCTTAAAAAGATGTGTAATAGTTTCAAATCTATTCTAACTTATGCCAAGTATGGCATCCATAATTATTCTTTCTATAGGCAATTCAAATAAATTCAAAAAGTTCAATTAGAGGAGGATAATTTGCAACCTCTAGTATTAAATAAAAATTTCTACAAATAAGAGTAATCCACTCTCTTTAAAGAAAGAAAGAAATAAAATAAAATAAAATAAAATAATAATGTTAAAAAACTATAAGTTAGTTTAAAGATCACTGATTTACAACCTTCAATGATACAACAATAGAATTAAAATAATCTTCTCTTTTCTAGAACAAAACAAGAACAAAGAATTAGGACTCTTGTCAAACTATAAATGATATGAATCTCAAAAAAAAAAACTCAATATACTCTTGTGTGACTTGAAAAGATTAAAAAGTCACTCAAAGATGGTAATATATTGAACTAGAATGGCTATTACTAAACACAATAATACTAAAAAGTCTTGAAACAAGACTAAAGATTAAAACGCAATGAGAATAGTGAACAAAGCTTCACTCTAACTTCCATATATACTATCTAACTAGAAGCTACATGACAATGTTTTGTAAGACCTGCAACACATTGTCATATTGTGATTTGGCTACCATATGAAAATATTATGTTTATATGTTTGATATATAATTTATTAAGTAACATAATAAAAGCCATGTTAGTAGATTTTAATTGGTTGTAGAATGTAGTTAAATTACTATTTTAAAAAGAAGTTGTTTAAAAAAACTACTATTAGAATTTACATAATTTTATTTTCTTTTGATAGTGGCTTGTAAGATTAATTTTGGTTGATAATAACTTTTACATTTTTAAAGTCACCTTTGTTAGACATTAGTGACCCTTGAAGTCTTCTTTTGTTTCTTTTATTTGATGTTTAGAGCATACATTATATAAATCTTATTAGAAAAAAGATCAAAAAAGGATCTTGGAAGCAAAAAGAGAAGTTAGGGCATCTATATGGATGAATGCAGATAGATGATGAAAATCTCCATTCCTATTGGCCAAAAATCATGCCCAATGGACTTCAAAGAGGCTGCTTGAGGCCTTATTAAGTATTAAGGTTATTCTTTCAACGTTATTTGAGCTTTGGAGGTTAGAATCAAGAAGTTTAGGTTTTTGGCTATGATTTTGGTAAAAATTTTGTATGATTTAGAATTTATATAAAAGAAATATAGATGCTAAAAGTTATAGTATTGATTTTGTATCTATTATCATTCTTTGGATATAATGCGCACGTACAAACAAAAATAAAGAATTGACAACTAAGATTGAAGAGAATATTCTCTTGGCTACACTTTTGGCATATTGTTTGATAGATTCTAAGTTAAGATGAAGGAGATATTGGAGGTTGAAGTTAGCGCTTGCAATTTAAGGATAAAAAGTGATCTGATTTACTAATGGTTGTGTTTTGAGCTATATCTTGAGTAATTTGATAAGATTTTGGCTCAAAATTTTTAAAAATATGTGTAATCATGTTAATAAACTTTATGCAAAAAATTTGTGACATTTGAATTTTGGATTTTTGAGATATAAAGAAAATAGTGCTTAGGTACTTATAAATTAGGGATTTAGAGCACTTGCTAGGGTTTCTAAGATGTCAAAAGATCAGTAGAAAAATTATAGTTCATTTTTTTTTTTGTAGTAAAGCTTAAGTATAATAGCTATGTTATCTCAAAATTTTAAAGAAATTAAACAGTTGGATTAAGAGATATGAATATCTAAAGTTTGGAAAGAAGAAATCCTTTGCAAGAAAAAATATATTTTGATGGATTTTGCTACAATTTGGACATTTTATATAAAGTGATGAGGTTTTGGAAGCTAAGACTTTGTATATAAATTAAATGTGGAATAAATCACTTATTGGAGCTTAGCCAATAAGTTAAAGTTAAACCATCTACAGCTAATTATTCCATGTATTCTTAGATTATAAAGCATACTACACAACAATGTGTTGATTTTGCAAGACACGTGTCTTAATTTGTAAGGAAAGTTTTCTATATGTGCACCACATAGTTAGCATCTTCTATAAGCTACCAACATGTATAAAGCATTGTTAACCTTTTCATCATGTTTCTAAATTATCAATCAACTACAAGTTTGTAACAAATATTCAGTTTCCAAAAACTTTACATTCCTTGATTTCTTTGTGTTTCCTTCTCAATAACCAATCAAAATATATTATTGAATCTTTATGTTATATCCTTGCTATTTAAAATAAAAATTCAAACATAATAAAAAAAAACCTTAAATAATTATTCTTGATTCTTAAAATTTTTATAATACAAACCTTGATTAATATTCATATTATTCTAATTATCAATATAAAAATAGCCACAACCATTGCTTCATGGCAATAGCATGGTCCACGTCTCTCAACAAATTTCACTCAATGTGTATTTACCAAAACAAATTACCACACATAATAATAACACACAAACACAAACAAGTGATTGGCATTCATGTTTTCATAGAAGCTTGGAGTTGCACATCATGAATGAACATGCTTCACAAAAGTGATTAGTTTTGAAGGTGCACCAACATGGAACTTCAAATTCTATAATGCACATTGGCACTCAACTCAAATCAAAACACATTGTGTCCTAATATATGTAATACAAATTTCACTGAATTTCTCAAGTTGGATGAATTTAACCTTCAAGGAGCAAACACCTACCATTGTTGTTGTGGGAGGGGGGAATTGAGGTCATGCTCTGGGGAGCATCATGGAAGAGTGGTTTTTTTAATTTCCAGCAAAGAAAGAATGGAGGAAAAGGGAAGTAAGTGTGTGACCAGGGCAGTATTGATTTTCCCAGTGCAAGGGTTCAGCTTGTGAGTGCCACCCCGCAACAACATACAAACACACACACCAATGGAGACAAAGAGGGGCATGAGGCCAGCAATGGGAAACCTCCCGCAGGGCAAGGCTAAGAATCTCTCTCTCACACTCTCGATCGCCCAGCCCAGCCCAGCCCTGGCCTCATTCCAGCTCACCAGACAAGATGGAGGGGGGGGGGGGATCAGCCCATGAGAGGCGCCACAGCCGCATGGCTTGTGTGCTTCAGGATGACGCTACCCGGCTCAGCAAAACCGTCACGGGGAAGGGTCAACAACAACAACATGTCGGGGTGTGGGCTGCAGGGTCCGCCATGTCCGGGAATGTTAGACAGCCTCGACAAAGTGTCGTCGTGTGGTGGGCGGGCCATCTGTGTGCCTGGTGCCGGGCCTATCCCGCGCTGCTCTGCCCTGCCCCCTGGACTGGGCTGGGTTGTGAAGGCGTTCTGCTCCTGCCCGGCCATGGGAATGGGCATTCTTACAACGCAGTGCTTCTCAACATCGCTCCGTCATCGGCATTTCTCGTCGGTCGACATCCTGTGAGCACACCTCCCCCCCCCCCCCCCCCGCCCCTCCACGCCATCGCCACTGCCTCTCCGTAGGATCTCCTCCGCTCACCTTCCCACTCCTTCCTTCTGCTGTTCAGCCCGTTTTGCTTCTGGCGCGAGATTTCGTTTGGTTTCCGCATTTTCGCAGATTGCTGTTGGAGGCTCACGGCGTGAGTGTGGTGTGGACGTGGTGCTGCGTTTGGGCATCGGCACCCCGTTTGTTGGCTTCTGCCCTTGCTTCGGGTGGTCTTCTGTTCATCCACGCCCGCACTTCACGTAGGGAGGCATCGGGGTTCTGCTGCGGTGCGAGGTCGAATACCTCGATTGCGTCTGTGGTGACAGAAAGGTCTGTTTGCTTTTGGAATTTGAAAGCTCAAGGAGTGTATGGCGCAGCAGAGCACGCGCGCTACCCTTGCGTATTTGCTTCTTGCAGGGTCATAGTTTAAATTTGAGTAGTTTTCGATCGTCGTGTCCGTAGTCCGGAGAAGCGCCGTGGCGTCGTCGGCGGTGGGTTTGTGAATATGATTTTCCGGTGGGAGAATGGTCTCTTAGGATGCAGTGGTCTGCGACATCTTTCAGTTTCCGGGTCAGCATCGTTGCAAGAGTTGTGTTTCGTGGAGGGTTTGCGAGACATTGGAGGTTCTATCCAACGATCGGCGAGGCATCCGACAGTTAATCTCAGACGTGGGCCGAGTACTGGAGGCAGCTCGTTTGGACGGGTTGTGCGACGTGCTGTGGAAGGAGGAATTATCTGCGCTGATGATCGTGCGCAGTCTTGACGCTCGGCTGCAGAGGACCCTTTGATGCCCGCCGTCGTTAGACGCCTCCGAGGCATCATTTTCTTTCTGGATACGTGCAAGGGTGATTCTCTTAGTCTGGAACTTGGCGTTAGTAGGGCGATTGTGCTTCCAATGCACAGAGCGAATTGTTTTAGGGTTCGACATTCGATTTCGTGATTCACAGCCTTCCGGATGTACGTCCTCAGGCTTCCTGTTCGTGGTCCTCTCTTTGGGATGAGGCGCTTTGTTGTTGCCGACGTACGCTGTGGAGTGTGTCGGATTGCTTGTTTTGGTTGGGTTCTTGCTTTAAAACTGGAAACGCGCGTGAGATAACTTTTCCTGTGATTTCTGGACCTGCACAATGAATCACGAGTTTTTGCAAGCGGTAGACTCCTGCAAGTTGTAAGCGGGAGCGGTGTCGTCAATTGGATTGGTCTGCCTGACCGAATTTGCGCCGGGTGGAAAATCAACACATACGCACCACAATTTGGTGGTTTGCGGCAAATGCAGTAGCTGACGCAGGCGTTTGTTCTGGATGCGTGGTAAGCATACGGGGTTTTCTTTGTTGCGTGGTGGCGATCTGGTATCACAAAGTTGACAGACTCCGAAACGGTCGTCCTAGCCTCCGGGAGAATCGTTCCCGTTTTCCTGGTGCCCTCGTGATCCTTTGGAAATGGGAGTCGGCATTGTACAGCGGACCGAGGATAATGCGCCAGGACCAGGGGTTGTTCCCCGAAACAGGCCATGGTGGCGGTGTCAGTTCTTTTGCGCTCATGCCTTTGGTGGCAAGTGGTGAAGAGCTCGAACGTACAAGTTACTCCAAGCCAAATTTTGGCTTTGCGTCTAGCTCGGACTGTGGTTTTGTCTACATTGCGGCGAGTTTGCCTTGGTCGATGCTGAGCGTTAAATGTGCTGTCCTGACCACGTGTGTGCAACACGCGCATTTTGCTGCCTGTGTAGTGTGATATTTCAGTGTGCATTTTGGACGTCGATTTATTTATGATGTCGGTTGTATGGATGTTACGTTTTGGTTGAGTCGTTTATTTGGCGCAGCTGCAGCGGCATCCAGTTTTTGTGGCCCTGAGTTATGTTGCGCGTTCTGTCGCAGGGCAAGTCCTGGTACGAAGCTGGCACTTTGAAGAGTTTGGATCGTGGCATGTGGTGCGGGATACTATTAGTTGGAAAGGGAGAAGTTATTTCCGTGTGGTCAACGTGGCTGGTGATGGTATGCGCGTGTCGATCAGTATGAGCAGAGGAGCGATCGATTGATCCTTGGAGGGGGGTGGAAGCGAGGAACTCACGCTCCTGTAAGTATGCCAGAAGGACGGGGCGTGGATATGAACGGTGAGACAATGAGCATGGAGGTTAGGGAGGCGCAGTCTCCTCTGAAGTCTGAGAATTCCCAACCCAAGAGAAGGTCTCCTTTACGGGCGTGCAAGCCGGAGAACGTAGACGTGAACGTTGTGAGTAGCAAGCAGGCTGGACAGGGGATGGCAGGAGGGCCGAGCACAAACGGCTCGGACACCAAATCGAGGACCGGAAGTAACGTGGAGAAGTTCGTGGAGGTGGCGGAAGCCCGTTTCAGAAAGCGCTGCGAGGTGAGAGTTGCTGTGGAGGGAGGTGGTTTGAGTTAGTTATGATTTGGATGGGAAGCAGTGACGGAATGTGGAATTGCGGGGTTGTTGGGGTTGCTTGTTGTGTCGTTTCGGGGGCGCAATGTAGCCGTGGTCGTGTTCGTGAGGAGGTTCAGAAAGATGTGGGGATAGCAGGATGTGCGTCGGAGAATGAACGTGTGTTACACACAGAAGTGTATGAGGGGCGTTTCATAATGGCTGACTTGGTGGTCATCGATGCCTTCCACTTCTGCGTGGGGTTTCTGTTTACGTAGATGTTACAGCTAGCTGGTGTAAGTGGGGTATATAATCTGTTGTTCAACGCATTGCCCGGGTGCAGGTTGGTCTTGGCCTGGGCGACGGAACGACACAAGAAGCGATGCGATTGTTCAGAGCGAGCAAACATCTCCTGAAGACCAACATCGGCACCATCGGAACCGGGACGGTGAGTCGTCGAGCTCGTCGGCTGTGGTTGCCTTGGGATGGGTAGAGAGTTTGGGACATGTTTGTAAAAATCTTTTGCAGTGTGATTGGATTGGTGAAGTACGCAGAGCCCCCTTGTTGTGTTGCGAGAGGTGATGAATTGTCGAGCTGAGTGTTGGCGGTCGTGTATGTGCTGTTGAAGGCGGAGGAGACAGAGCGCCTGTGGAGTGCGTGCGTGCTGTACGTCGTGAGAAGGCTGGGCACCGGGGTGTGTGCAGGGGGGGACAGAGTTGAGAATGGAGCACCCGCGGGGTTTACATTCTCTCAGCTGTTGCGGGAGACGAGGCTGAGGTAATAGAAGCTTCTCCGGACTGAGCAGGTGGTCGTGTGTTTTGAGCAGCGGAGGAAGTTGCACACGTAAACTTGGTGTTGGGTTAGAAGAAAGTAGCTGGATCACCTGGGTTTGACTTGAAGCGGCGTTGAGCATCTGTGGTTATGGTCTGAACAGGGTTCTTGCGGTGGATGTTAACTGTGTTGTTGTGACGGTGACAGCGTGGTTGAATTTTTCAAGGAGCTCCCCCAGTTCCTCGCAAAGGCTGGCCCGACGCTGAAGTCTGTGTACGGAGAAGATTGGGAGAAGCGGCTCCAGGTAAAGAATGGATAAGGTTGCAATCCAGCTGATGGGGTAGCGTTTTTGGAGTAGCTTGGGTAGGACAGCGGAGATGACGTGTGACGTCGTGGGTGTGCAAACAGGTGAAGGAAGTTCAGGCCAATTTTGTTCACCTGATGGTCCTGTACAAGTAAGTGACTGTGCAGCCAGATGTGCTCGTGGGGTGATCTTTGGGGTGGCACGTGGTTGTTTTTTTGCGCACAAAGTGATGTGGTGTTGTGCGTGCAGCTATTACAAGAGGATTTATCAGCACCTTTTCGTACTCCCCGAGAAGCAGGCGAGAGGTGGGAATGGGCTGTGTTTAGGTGGCGGTGGGGACGCAGCCACTCCGGTGCACATGCGTTTTGGTTGGATGCTGTTTTTAGCGCTGCGGACGCACGTGCTGAACCACTTCGCGGACTTGGTGACTTGCACCAACGGGCTGTTGGCTGTGATTGTACGAGAACCCTCGCGTGTCGCACAAACTCGTTGCAATGCACTGCTTTGTCGTGGTGTTTAGGGAAGAGTGGATGTGAGGAAGGCGTCGCACGGAGTCCACGCTGCTGTCAAGCCAGCAACCACGTGGCATGTCTGTGTGGGGTGCCTGAGTTTCACTTGGAAGTGAGACGTCGTTGCCATCCAGCAACGTGTGCTGTTATTGCTTGCGCTGGTTCTGCACGGTTCACAGGGCCGGGTCGTTGTGGGTTTGGTCAGTGCGGTTTTGTTTGTGAGCTGATGTGTGTTTGGTGATGACGTTTGCAGATAGTGTTGATCATTCATATACCACTGACGTGGAGAAGATTTTCGTTTGACGATAAACTGAAGTTTGGTAAACTGCTCAGCCTTGTGAACTGGTCGCGAGTGGTGTTTTGGTGGCTT